CTAAATGGTTTGCCTTAGTCTATGATGAGTCATAAATGGCTGTTGTGTGTTATACAGGCAGTGTAGCTATAATGTATATAAGATAAGGAGAAATATAAGATAGCTAATTACTACATCATAGTTATCTGAAAATGCAATAATTATGAGAAAAAGGACAAATTTAAGAGTGTTCATAACAAACACACAGTTAACGACGGCACATAGATAAGCCCTGAGGAAAAAGCCGACATTTGATAATCGATCGCGGAATGACATCGGAGGAACGAGCACAAAAATTTTATAGTGTTGATGCGTCACTAACCACATCTTGGTAGTACCTCCGATTTGATGAAAATTTGCTTCATCCAATCAAATTCTCTATCCAGATCTTGACAGTGACAATTGTAAAGTTTGGAATTTCTGTGGTCGATCCTCGGATTTCATTTCGCTGAGAAACAATTGGTTGTGTCGCGAAATGTCGGCAACACATAGATCTATCAAAAAAGATTCTGAAGCAAATAACCATCATGAACCGAAAAGAACGTGTTTCAATCAGCTGGTTTACCAGAAGTTTTGTTATTGCCTGTGATTTGTTAAAAAGGGCATCGTTGGATTCTGTAAGGAAGGACAATTTATGTTTACAACAGAACAGAGCTTTCAACGGGGCAAGACGAAAAAGAGACTTCGTTTGCTTTTTACAGCAAAGGACAGTTCGTTCCTTTTTAACTCAAACAGCCCAGTGAAATAACCTATACTTTATAATAGCATATAAGCACCGAACAGACCTGCTGCGCCTCGATGTTTCCTGGTTTCCACGAAATTTTGTGCCCACTTCCCATGACGAGGGTGGAAGAATCAACGCCGCTAGCTACAGCCGCCATATACTCTTCCTCTATATCACTATCATCATCGTCATCGTCGTTTAATGAATCAGATTTTTTGACAGGAGCCTGCACGCCAAATTGTTTCTGGACCTGGATAACACATGCGTGATTTGTCGCCTCAGTTGCCACAAGCGAATCGCCTTTCCCGCTGACAAAAAGTTTCTTAAGGCCTGGCTGTTTCACGTTGAAAATCTCACATTCGGTACTATCTGCGAGAGCTTGCAGCTTTCTTTTCGCTCGTTTTATCCCCTCTTTGTTTCCCCCAATGACAAATTCATCATCACCTCTTCCTGTTTGAATCTTGACCTCATAGTCTTTGAGTTCAACTTCAACTGAAGACAAGTCATCTTGACGAAGCTCAGAGAGATATTTTCGGACTAACTTTGAAGAACATTTCATTTGCTCTTCTCGAATACAGTTATCATCTAGGTACGTAGTTAGCGTTTTTATTGCTTCATGCACATCTTCTCTGAACCCGGATACGTAGGTGTCATTCCAGTTGTTCCGATACACCCGGACAGTTGAGATGGTGTTGAGTTGCTCACATAGTTCGCGCCATTCTGTTGTTTTTAAAAGATGCTGACTGTTGGCATCCACTCGGACTTTTTCTTCCGAAGTCATCTTACCAACAAGACTGGCAGCCTTGTCTGCATGTGCAGCTGACGTGCCTATGATCCGAGCCTCGCTATCGATCACGAAAACAGCCTCCACGTTATTTTTCTCTAATTCACATTTAACTTTCTCCAGCCCTTCATCTAAAGACAAAATTTCCAAAATGTTTTTTGACGGGCTCAATTTCTTTTCAACCATGCCCGAATATTGTTTGTGAAATTTCATGGTCGCTTCCAGGAACTGTGGTTGCGGGCCTTCAAAATAGATTTCCTCCGCTTCAGTGTCTATTTTTATCTCCAGTTCTTTGTTTTTTTCTTGAAGTTTTTCCACAAAGCGGATCTTTTTTAACAAAATTAAATGTTCTACAGGAACTACTTCCGTTTTCTTCAAGTACATTTTTCTGATTTCCTTCCGGTATGTGTCTTCTAATTTTGCTTTTAATTTCTTTTTCAAATCTTCTGCATCCGAACTCAGGGAAACAATTCTTATCACCAAAGAATCATGGATAATTTTAACCAGCGGAGGCTCAACGCCGAAACAGGCGCGAATGTCTGCTAACTGAGCTTTCACGGCTTCCCAGAAATCCTTGTTCACTTCAACATCTTGCTTTGTAAATTTCGCAAGCCATGTTTGTACTTCCTCAATACATTCAGACTGCCACAAATCACTTTTATCTTGTCCGCGGTACAATAGAACGGCTGTTTTGTTGTTTAGCTTCCAATTAATTTCACACTTCTTCGTAACCAACGCCATTTTAAGTTGGACATGGAGTGACGTAGTTGTGACGTATTCCATCACATCCGGGTCCACAGCCATGTGAAGCTTCTGTGCTTTAGGTTCAGACCGCTGGCTTGCAGATGTGCTATGGCTGTCCTCCGCATCCTTTAGCTTGTCACCCAAAACGTCAATTGCAACGTCATCGTCATTCTCCAGTAAATCGTTAAAGATTCTTACAGTGAGTTCAGCTTTATTTAAGACAAGTGGCCTTTCATTCTGTCTAGCTAAGACTCTTTCCATATCTGTGAATGAGAAAATAAAAGCCAGGTAAACAATGACTCCCTCGAAAACCGGTCGCGTTTTAGGACAGCAAAGAATCCTTGCTTTTAGTACTTAGCCAAGAATTACACAAATAAGGCGCTCTCGATCTCTAGCCAGGATGGGAGTATGCGTGTGTGTTTGTGCATACAGTCGAACCTCCATGTGCGACCACCTCTCGTAAGCGACCATCTCCCATAAGCGACCGCCTATCCAAAACACCAAAACTTTCCCAGTCAAAGCCTTCCAGTTGGAACCCTCCTAAACGACAGCCACCACTATTTGGGGCGTGCAGTTAAATGATTTTCCATTGTTTTTAGCCTATTTTAAGCGACCACTTTACGTTTTGTCTGATATCTCGATTATGTTGGCTGTGTGCACTATGCTACTTATAATATAAAAAGAATTTTAGAATCAACATGGAACCTGGTTGTACCTTAAAAAATTGCATGCAATAAATTGTTATCCATAAAGTAGATGTGTCCGTACATCTTCAGCACCTTCTCGGAAGATAGCCCTGTGCTTCGATTCTCATAAGCGACCATCTTCCGTAAGCGACCACTAAGTCTTCGCATCTGGGGTGGTCGCTTACCGGAGGTTCAACTGTATTAACTATTGTTATAAGAATATCAAAACTTGTACGGCATGCATTCACCAGAAAGGACAAAGACACACTGTAGAAGTTTTCTCCGTTCTAGAAGTTTAACCGTTATAACTGACCTGTTGAATTCTGAAACACTACCACAGCTCGACCACTTTTGGGCTTAAACCTCACTGTCTCCACAGGACCACCATTGTTCCTTAGACTTTCAAAGCACAGCTCAATGGCATCTTGGGTGGTGTCCTCTGAAATGCCGCTGACGAGAATGCTCCTGCACACAGGTACGCGTTGGATTTTGACCCGCGCAGAGTCCATTCCTCTTCTCTCACCCTTCTCCTTGATTTTATAAAAATCTAATGAATAAAGTGTAAGAAAAATCTGCCATATGCTGACGAGAATGCTCCTGCACACAGGTACGCGTTGGATTTTGACCCGCGCAGAGTCCATTCCTCTTCTCTCACCCTTCTCCTTGATTTTATAAAAATCTAATGAATAAAGTGTAAGAAAAATCTGCCATAGTTATTTCAAATAACTGGCATATATTATTATGACTGATTTTCCACGAAATAATGGGCGAAAAAAGGTAGAGGGAAAAGCACACTCAAAAACGCAGATTGCATGCCTGCTTAACAATCGAGCAGTCTAAATCTCAGAAGTAAAATAGACGATTTTTGGAGATATTTTATAGTAATTTTTATAGTTATTTTGATAATGAGTTTAGCGTCTTTACCGAGTCACTCATACCGCCTAGTCCAAGGTCATAAATGCAAGTAAATGAACCACTCGTATTTCAAAAGACGGTCTCCAGCTCAAGGAAAAAACTTCTCTAAACTGCAGGAGGTTCCAACAGACAGACCATCAAATCATTAAATTTCGTTGTTTTACAGATGAATATGGACCTCGCAGACTTTTCTGAATTTTTTTAACCAACTACGCCTGAAGAAATGCACGTTTTAGGGTTGGGGCTAGGATTTGTCTTCAATACAGTCCCAGCAACGACGCTAAAAGCATCATGCGCTTGTCTTTCACTCACGAAAAGAAATTTTGGAACGAGAGATTTTCTAAGGGTTTTAATTGGTTTCACCACATTTGAGATTGAAAGGACAAAAACGTGCAGGATTGTTAACTTTATCGAAGAAGAAAGCCCAGTGAGACGAAAACCCCTTTAGCCCTAGTAAGTTATTAATGTTAGATTTCTGATTTGTTTAATATAATTTGCCTCGATCTATGGAAATCGGACACCGTTGGATCTGTTTCTACCTGACGAAAGTCTGGTTCTCATTATTCCGCACCACCAACCTACCTGCTACCTGATAGCCCCCCCCGCCTCCCCAGTACTGCCTTTGTACATATTCTGACACCTACACTGCCGGCAACAAGGGCCATCACAGGTCTTTGCCGCCGGCATGCCGGCGGAGAAAACTGCCAGTGTTGTCACGACTTCTTTCTCCATATCGGACAGTATCCAAGGTAATAGCGGTGGCTATATCACAGGTAGGTAAGCGGCATTATGAGAACTCTGCGTGAGAGTTCTGTACACAGTAGAGTGCATGGTTCTTGGCTGAGTGCGGGGCCGTGAATCTAAAGCCAACGAAATTACTGACGGACCAATCACAGAACGACGTGACGGTAGAACTACCCATGACCAATCAAGCCTTGGAGCAAAACAGGATAAGGCACGGTTGCTTGAATTTACTTAACTTGAGCACACCTGAGCTTACTAATGAACTACTTTTTTGCACGTGACTGAAATCGGCTTAGTTGTTATTAGTAGCAGGACTTACTTGTTATATCCTCAGTCATTGTAACCAGAGCTTTGCCTTTACTCATCTCTACTGTCTCCACGTCTTCACCACTCATCGCCTCAATAAAGTTCAAAACTCCGTCTTGTGTCGTCGACTCACTCAGCCCGCAAATAAGCAGTTTCTTTGGCTCAAACTTTGCGTCTTCTCCTGTATTGTCGTTTGTATGAGAATCTTGAACATTCATTCCACTAGAAAGGCTCTGGGCTCGTCTCAATCCTAACTGGCCACGTCCTCTATTAATATTGGGTCCAGATCTCCCCCTTTTCCCTTGGTCTCGTCTAGTTGCACAAATTCCCTCACTACCAGAAAAGTCAAGCTCGTCATAGTATATTTCATCTGCCAGAGAAACTGAACGTTCACGTCTCCAGTCTGGACCTTGGCCGCCGCCTCCTTGTCCGCGTCTAAACTGACCTCTTCCTCGCCCTCTTTGAGAGACTTGCAGTTGGTCTTGGAAAAATGAATCGCTATCAAATCTATTTTCACCGCGTCCTCTGACGCGGCCACGACCATTGCCTTTGGGTTGGGGTTTTGGTTGATTCCATCGTCCTCTCCAGTTACCACGTCCCCTCTGGCTCTGAAACATGTAGTCACCCACTGGAAATCCATAGGGAATATCATTTCTGTATTCTTGGAAATCTTCATGCGCCTGGAAGAACCCTCCTCTGGGTCTAAATCCTCCTCTTGGCCTTGCTCCAAACACTCGGCCTCCTTGTCTTATACCACGATCGTTCCCACGCGGTACGTTTGGTTCATAACTGTCGAAACTATTTCCCAGTGTCCTTTCTCCTTGTTCTTCCTGTGTTTTGTTTTGATTCTCATTGTTCTTCCTTCTTCTCCCTCCCCTTCTCCTTTTTTTTTTCTGAGAACCCTGTGGTTCGCATTTTTCACTCCCCTTGTTTTCTGATTCTGGCCGTGCAGGTGGGGGACCCCAGGCAGTGGGCGGATAACTCGTCGGGGTTTTGAAAAGGTCGCGTGGATTTTCCATATCCTGAAATTCTTGTAATCTCTGACTTGCCAAGTTCAGGTCTCCGTTAACATCATCGCGGCAAAGAACTCTTTTAATGAGAACCCTCGGTANCGTGCAGGTGGGGGACCCCAGGCAGTGGGCGGATAACTCGTCGGGGTTTTGAAAAGGTCGCGTGGATTTTCCATATCCTGAAATTCTTGTAATCTCTGACTTGCCAAGTTCAGGTCTCCGTTAACATCATCGCGGCAAAGAACTCTTTTAATGAGAACCCTCGGTACACAGGAGAAAACTTCCTCGAGCGTTTTGAGCTTTTCCTCCAGCTTCTCTGGATCCTCTTCTTCAGTTTTCCTGGAGGAGGCTGTATCCATTGAAAAGTCCTCCTCCTCCTCCTCGTCTTCGTTTCCCCTCCCTTCGTCTGCGACCACAAAGTCCCTTATATCGAAATCCTCTTCGTCACCGCTTCCACTCTCTTCTTCCTCATCCTCTTCGTAGCTGTTTTCATCTTCTGTAATAGAAAAAGCATTGATCATAATCTACAGAGTTTTCGGGCATTTGTTCTCTCATTCTCTTGACACCAAAACAACTGTTAATGAATAGGCGGATGCCTTACATGATTTCCCATACCGGTATATCGCATCGCAACAAACCTTTACGGAAAGAACGGAGATTCCCCCTCCTCCGAAAATAGTTAGCCTCTTGCTTATTTCTAAGTAAAATTACCAAAAGTGTTTGGCTGAGTTAAAATTTCACCAAGGCTTCATTTTGTTCGAAAAACAGTGAGTATAGTAGCTAAATGAAAGAGTAATATGCTTTGTACAAAAAAAAAACTTATTTCTCAAAAAGAATACTTTACATCCGCCAGAAAGCATCCTCTTTCAAGGTCCCCTTGAATCTCCAACATTAGTTATCTTTTATACCTAGATTTATAACTGATGAATATGAACACTTTACGACCACAGTTTAAGGGCCGAATATTTGGATATAGGTGAGCCGCTTAGTGTTTGAAACCCAGACCCTGTTTTGGACAACAACTTCAATTTTATTGCCCTGTTTAGGAAAAAGGAAAAAATGAACACCCTCTTGTTTTAGAGCCATTTATTGGCAATTGTAATAGAACAAATTCACGTTATAGTCATTGCTATTGAATCATCAAGCAAGTCAAAACAATCGCGCAGGCATATACCCCGTTTATAATCATTAGGATAGAATCACACGAAATTACGGTGTATACCCTCTTTAGGACAGAGAGGACAAAACCCATACCCTGTCCAGCGGCACGTCCCGTACAACCTCGTCCCCAGGGCGCTTTTCCCTGGCTTTGGAGGTGGGGCGAGAAAAGGGAAGCCAGGGAAAAGGGCCCTGGAGACGAGGTTGATCCCCGTATAAATAGATAGAGAGCTTCCTCTATTATCAACAGAGCGCCTAAAGGCACATGTGTTTACAGCGATAACCAAAAAGATTACACTGCCGCAATAAATGGTAATACAATGGACGTAGAATTACAGTGAAAGTTCTCTTTTGACTACAGAGGTGTACAGTTGTAAAATTTGTACCATTAGACAAGGTTATATTTAACGCATCTTTCTCTTTCGCGCAAACGATCAAATACATATTTAGCCACCATTTTTGGCGTTTTTTCTCCTTGCTTCATACTTATTAACTTTGCAAAAGCTGTGCTTGGATTCATAGAGTCAAGAAAAAGATTAGTTTCCGTTTTTAGATTTTTGAAGAGATCTCTCCTAGACTCCCTATAAGCTATGCAATTCATCAAAAAATGTTCCTCGTCTTCTATTCCAGTGTTACATAACGGACAGATTCTCTGGTGGTTGATAGGGTTTAGCGTATCGCCCAGTTTCAATTGCTAGTTTATGGTTGCTTAATCTTAGGTTTGTGATTGCTACTCTATGACTGATGTTTCTTACGTCTGTGAGGTAACTTTCGTAGTCATGGGTAAGTTTAAACTTTTAAATTTTCTGAAAGTTCTTAGTTTGTTTTTTTGATTCGGGTCCTTTCGGTAATCATTGTGTATTTCGCTAATACATGTTTGTTGTTCTATGCATGTCTAAGAGTCTCATAGTTCATGGTTGCGGGAGTGTTCGTTTTCGCTGACCATATGTCGCCAAGACCTGAGAGATTTAATAGCCGTTTTAGTTTGCTTGGCCAAAGTTCCTTTTTGTCTTGGCAGAATCCTCCAACACTGGACTACTTTCTAAAACCATACAGGCAAGACTTAAATTTTCTTATTTTACCTGACCTAAACTCAGTGTCTGCAAACGAGCCAAAAATCGGTCATTTTTTTGATCTATAGCGCACAACTAAATCGAAAGTACAACTCTGACAGCCAAATTGAAGTCTACTATCATCCATGTAATCAAAACGCTAAAAATCATATTGGGTCGTTGTAACTGTCCTCAGAGACATAGCATGACCCTTTTCCGACGCAGCACGTAGAGAGATAATACCCGGAATAGAAAGTGAAAGTGCACTGAGATATGGTTACAGGGACTTTCCCCAGAACGGTAACCTCCTGGAAACAAAGAAAGTGATTGTCATCGGTAACCTCATAAAAAATTAAACATGTCGCTTTCCTTCTCCTTCCACTTTTGGGCTGGCAAATACATTTACAAACATCTGATCTGGTCTACGGATTCGAGTCCCAATTACTGAAGCACTTTAGAACGTAAAATGCTGAAAGTAACACATGACTGAATACAAAGGCATCAAACCTAAATACTGTAACTCAATGTGAATATAACAAAGCGATTATGTTTAAAAGACAACGGTTAGGAGTGATAATGACCCGTAAACCTCAGGCATCGCCGGGTTCTGTTAATACCCCTTCGCTTGAATGGGCTATGAATTATATAAATTCAGTGTCGACTTTTAAGTAACTTGCTATTCGGTAAAGGCGAGCAAAACGGATTTCTCTTAAATAAAATGGATACTATTGCCGGATAAACAACTGAGTGCGCTCTGAGGAAGGATATATCATATATCTATTAAAAGGCAACAAACTCAAATTATAGTTTATACTTACCAAAACTATCCATTACACCGGCTTGTGAGTAAAGATCGTTCTATGATAAAGTAGAAGAATAAACCGTTTTTTCCGCTCAGACATCAAAACAAAACAAGGAAAGAAAGTGAGTTATATACGAAGGTATAAATGATGTTATATGTTGTTAATTTTGAGATGGACTGCACTTGCGTACATCCATAAAACAGTCAATAACAACCTTCAAGCAGGAGTGTGTACATGTGCTGTGTGCAAGTGGTTTTCATTTGAACGACAACAACGTATTAACCTTGAAACGGAAGTTGGCACTGAAGTAAGCGGCGATCGGAAAGAATACATGATCACGATGCGATTAAGGCCATAAAGTGGAACTATTCCTTGCTGTAAGGCGAAGTCCTGCAGGATCAGTCGAACAAAACTTACCGTAAGTTGATATCCAGTAACAGCAAGATCTCAAAGCATAAGAAAAGGTAGTGCTTTACACCACAGTTTCGCTTTGAATGAAATTTTCAGCAGGTTTTCACGAAACAATTCTGCTGCTTCCGGGTTTCCGGGAAAAAGGCGCATCCAGAGCCAGGTAGTTGAACCTGCCTCGTACCCAGACGTCTCTCTTTTGGTGAAAATGTGCGCGCAAAGGAAGGCGGGAAGGAGACAGCGGGCGAGACGTCTGGCAGATCTTGTTTTCAAGATGGCGTCAAGAGCAATGGCGGACGAATATGCAGTTTTTAAAATAAGTTCAGCCCTATTCATTTTGCGAATTTTGAGCAAATAATTGCCTATCCACGTCGTGCGTATGAAGAGGAAGCTGTTTTCACCTCACACATTGGACTCAAGCATCACAATGTTTACTACCGAACTACATACTGTTTACTACCGAACTTTAAATCGAAAAACTAC